TTGTAAAAGCAATCATTTCTCCTTCTCTCTGGCTGCATTCCTGCAGCCAGTGAGAAATACTGTGAGAGCTGTGATTGGTCACAGCTTGTCACATAGTACAAGGCTGCTGTGAATGGTCCTGTACCGTGTGACCTCTGTGATCATTCACAGATTTCACAAGTAGTAAGCAATGATGTCAGGAAGTTTTTACTAATATTCATGTGATCACTGATTGGCCAATGAGTGATCACATGATCGGGACCTTACACAGAGGTCCCGTACAGCGATGTGTGTTCTGCTGTGTCCTACGGACACAGCAAGCACCGGATCACAGGGCCGTGCGCTCCCAGGGAGTGCGTACAGGCAATGGATGCGGGGGGACATTTACAAACGTCCACCTGCTTCAGCAGCGCTCCCATCCGGCCGTTTATCGACATGGGCTGGACGGGAAGAGGTTAACAGTTTGGTTTGGCAAGAATGACCTTTTATAAATCCATGCTGATTGCTACTAATGATACTGTTTCCTTCTTCAAATTCTTGGATGTAGTCCCTTATCATCCCCTCCATTAGTTTACATACTACTGTTGTTAGGCTGACTAGTCTGTAGTTCCCAGGTCTTTTCAGTATTTTGCCCATTTTTGAATATTGGACCCATGTTGACCTTTCACCAATTACCACCATTCCTGCCAGTATGCTGTCCATAAATATTAGGAATAACGGTCTGGCTATAACCTGACTTGGTTCTCTGAGGACTCTCGGGTCTAAGCCATCTGGTCCTGGCGATTTACTGGTATTAGGATTTTCTAGTCTTTTTTGGACACTGGCTCCTGTTAGCCACAAGAGTACATTCTGTGATGCGTTACTAATGATGCAGTCTTCATTACAATATTATACTTGTTTTCTCAAAACAGAGATTTCCTCCTCTGAAGTCATGTGATCCTATGACCATCACAGTGCCTCCATGTGACTCCCTAAAACCAGAGAGACGCAACATACAGAAGATTCTAGAAGTCACCAAGAAAATAATGGAGCTGCTGGCAGAAGAGGTGAGCGGTGCCGGGAATTCTGGGACATTCTCCAGTAACAGAAAAGGGATGTGTCTGGATGGTGACGTCATGATGGACAATCAGCTGCCCCTCACATCACCGGGTAAGAGGAGACTTTATTGGAAAGGAGAGAGCAGTACGAAGGCTCCACCTAGATCCCCCATCATCTGATATACACATAGAAACAATGGAGTCAGTCAGTGTGTGTGTTTCCTACAGATGGATCCAGTCATGGGAACCCACCAGAGAGATGTCCCCGTCCTCTGTATTCCCGGGATTCCACACAGGAAGGTCACACCATTCCTCCTCATCATCATCAGGTACATGTGGAACAATGACTGATAGTTATGAGTTATATAAAAGCATGTTTGTTGCATTGAATGTTTTATTATACATTTAGAGTGGAAGCCTCAGTGATAGCAATATTGATGTGAAAGAAGAGTATACAGAGGAGGATGAGGAGTATGGAGTGATGGAGGAGTTTTCAGAAGGACACAAGGATATGATGGAGCCACCTATTACCAGGAACCCACCAGAGAGATGTCCCCGTCCTCTGTATTCCCGGAATTCCACACAGGAAAGTCACACCAGCCCTCACCATCATCAGGTAGGTGGATCCAGTAATGGGAACCCACCAGAGAGATGTCCCCGTCCTCTGTATTCCTGGGATTCCACACAGGAAGGTCACATCATCCCTCACCATCATCAGGTAGATGAGGAACAATTATTGGTAGGTATGATTTGTACACAGCATGTTTGTTACAATGAATGTCTTACTATATATTCAGAGTGGAAACCTCGGGGATGATAATATTGTTGTTAAAGAAGAGTATAAAGAGGAGGATGAGGAGTATGGTTTGATGAAGGAGATTTCCGGAGGACAGAAGGACATGATGGAGCCACCTAATACCAGGAACGCACCAGAGACATGTCCCCGCCCTCTGTATTCCCAGGATTCCACGCAGGAAGCTCACACCAGCCCTCACCATCATCAGGTAGGTAGAGTTGAGGGTCGGGAACATAAAGTGATGGAACACTCTGACATGTGGAGACGATGTGTGGACTCTACAAGATGAGATGTTCTTTGTGATCTCACATCATAAATCCTTCTATGCTACAGATGTTATTTTCTGCCATTCTGCTGGTTTAGGTTGAAGATCTGATTATGAAAGTTGAGTGTGAAGTAGAAGAGACATATGTGAGGGATGATGAGCAATATACAGAGGAGGATGGAATCAGGAGGACCTTCATAGAGGAGGACACGTCTACAGAGATTAGCACAGGTGACCAGAATATATTCTTTTATCTCTGCTCTGTTACTGCTCACTGATTGGTCCAAAGTAGGGTGGAAGCTGAGTGATGTCAGCCAATAATAGGTTGGTAATGGTCTCCTCCCTGTCCTGATACCCATCCTGGGGTTCAGCTGGCAGTATTAGGTTGAGTGTCACTCCTAGTTCCAGTAGCACAGATATGATGGCACAGATTGAGCCTTTCTTGGGTCGGTTCCTCTTCTTCCAGCAGACTTCTAGATAAATGTTACCATAAAACTCTATCACCGATCTTGTTGGGATGAAAAGTAAGGAGTAGTGGTGAGGGACTTGTGTTTGGTTCACAGGAGGATGCACAATCACAGCCTGAAATTTGCAAACCCCTTTAAGTCCTATAAGAGCCATAACCTTTACTTATTTTCCGGTCTGTTTGAAGGCCAGTTTGCAAGCAGCCAGCGGCACTATGTCAGTGGTTGCTAGGACACAGGCAGCCCCGTGTCCTAGTAACCTATGATACTGTGTGGTTGTCTGCTTCTTAGCAACCAGTGATGCCGGATGAGCTACAGCTGTACAGCATCTTTGGTTGCTTAGACATAGCTGGCCACCAGCATCCTAGCAATTGGTAGTAGAGATACCACTACTAAATGGATGACTTCTGCTGTGGGCAGGTTGTGGATAAGGGTGGGACCACCAGTCCTCCTGTACGGGGCCCAGGCCAGCAGGGGGCCTAGGCAGCCTGGTGAATTGGATGTGAGCAGAGAGGGTGATCGGCATGGTGGGGGGGAAATTAGTGGAACCGATGCCCTGACATCTGAAAACTGGATTCTTCGCCTCTCCCTCACGCTGCTGCAGAGAGAGCCATACAGGGGATCAGTTCCAGTAATTGCCCCCCGCTGCACCCATCACTCTCCCTGTACAGATCTGATTCACCGTGCTGTCTGGGCCCCCACAATACCGGCTGCCCTCCTCTCCTTCCCAAGGGCAGCTGCAAGCACACAATAGGATCCTTCAGGATGGAGAGTTGGGGGAAGGGTCTGATAAATATGTCACATTAACCAGCCCCTTCTTTGCCTGAAATGAAGGCATTAACCAGCCCCTTCTTTTCCTGAATGAAGGCAGTTGAGTGCACTGATCACTCAGTGTGTTCATTCATAACTGAAGCATAGTAAACTGTGGGTTTTTTTTTTTTTTACTTTCTGGGGCCTTGTCAGGATAGCTGTATGGGCCATGTGCTTTCTAACAGCAGCCCTGGGTGTGGGCAGTGAAAGGTTCAGCAAGCAAGCCAACTGACCATTTCATTTTCCCATTCGATGAAATGCAAATGTGTTGCGTTTGGGTCGAACCCATGCTCGATCCAAACCTGAAGCTCATCCTAACATAAAGACTTCACCACTTATCTTTTAAAGGAGAAAATACCTCTGCAAGCTTCCTCCAGTGCTGCATATCACCAGAAGTCTAGTCTATGGTCACGTGTTCTATGGTTAAAAGCATGAATTCTATACTTTGTGTCTATCAGAGGTCACCTGACCCAGTGCCTAGGCTTGTGGTTGTGTGAAGAGCATGCCCCTCCCAGCCCCCTTTGGTTCCTTCTCTGACAAGGCGGTCATGAGGAATGAGGGGGACATTCATAGAGGAGGACACTCCTACAGAGATCAGCACAGGTGAGGGTCTTCAAGTCTGAACGTGGACCTTTTTGTCTATCAGAGGTCACCTGACCCAGTGCCTAGGCTTGTGGTTGTGTGAAGAGCATGCCCCTCCTAGCCCCCACTGGTTCCTGCCCTCTGACAAGGCTGTCATGAGGAATGAGGAGGACATTCATAGAGGAGGACACTCCTACAGAGATCAGCACAGGTGAGGGTCTTCAAGTGTGAACTTGGACCTTCTTGTCTATCAGAGGTCACCTGACCCAGTGCCTAAGCTTGTGGTTGTGTGAAGAGCATGCCCTTCCCAGCCCCCATTGGTTCCTGTTCATCTGACAAGGCGGTCATGAGGAATGAGGAGGACATTCATAGAGGAGGACACTCCTACAGGGATCAGCACAGGTGAGGGTCTTCAAGTCTGAACTTGGACCTTTTTGTCTATCAGAGATCAACTGACTCAATGCCTAGACTTGTGGTTGTGTGAAGAGCATGCCAGCCCCCACTGGTTCCTGCTCCTCTGACAAGGCGATATAAATGTAGAAGTGATCTGGGAGGACCAAAGACCCTTTGACTGAAGAAGGGAAGAGTCCCAGCTGGTTGGGACATCCACAGAGAACATCTGCTCCCTTCTTTCTCCCTGATCCAGATGGAATCTTAAAGGGAAGTGAACTAACCCTCTCCTATCTATTGATGTTTTTCTATTTTTGTAGGACCTACTATCAGGAATTTCTTAAACGATCGTCTTGCTTTATCTCCAGGTTGGAAAATGGAAGATGAGGACATCTCAGGAGACTGTGCTGGAGAAAAGTCAATGAGCTCCACCATGGATGGTGGACTTCCCAGTGTGGAGAGACCATGGGATCCCTCTGACTCCGAGCAACCTTTTAGTGTGGGGGTTGGTGCTGGATTTCCAGGGGAGGAGAATTTTTCCTGTCCTGAATTTGGGGAAAGTTTTTTTTTCTGAATTAAGACTCTCTGTACAACAAAAAGCTCATGCAGGAGAGAAGCTTCATTACTGCCTCGAGTGCGGAAAATGTTTTCCTCGTAAATCAACGCTTGTTATACATAGGCGATCTCACACGGGCGAGAAGCCGTATTCCTGCCCCGAGTGCGATAAATGTTTTTCACAGAAATCAAACCTTGCTACACATCAGAGATCTCACACAGGGGAGAAGCCGCATTCCTGCCCCGAGTGCGGGAAATGTTTTTCACATAAGACCAGTTTTTACAGGCATCGGCTAATACACGCAAGCGAGAAACCATATTCCTGTCCTATGTGCGAGAAATGTTTTGCACGGCAAGCAGACCTTCTTATGCACCAAAGATGTCACACAAGGGAGAGGCCGTATTCCTGCCCTGAGTGCGGGAAATGTTTTGCACGGCAATTAGACCTTGATATGCATCAAAGAACTCACACAGGTGAGAAGCCGTTTCCCTGTCCTGAGTGCGGGAAATGTTTTGGACAAAAGTCGGTACTTGTCAGGCATCAGAAATCTCACACAGGGGAGAGGCCACATTCCTGCCCTGAGTGTGGGAAATGTTTTGGACAGAAATCAGTACTTGTCAGGCATCAAAGGTCTCACACAGGGGAGAACCCGTCAAACCTGCCCTGAGTGCGGGAAATGTCTTCCATGGAAATTAGACATTGTTATGCCTCAAAGAACTCGCACAAGTGAGAAACCGAATTTCTACCCTGAGTGCAGGTAATGTTTTTCCCAGACATCTGATTTTACTAGTCACACCGACCTCGAGGTATATTAGTGTCCTGAGTGCGGGAAATGTCTTCTATATGGATCATATGTTGCCGTACATCAGAGATCTCACCCTGGGAAGAAGCACATTTTGATATACACCTCAGAAAACACGTGGCTGAGCTCTCCTCTGATCTTTATCATGGAAGAAACACTTTATAAGGAGATCAGAGATCACTAAAGACTTCAAAGTTGTTTCTCGCTTCCTCTGCTAGGAGAGAGAAGGAGGGGGGGGGGGTCACTGCTGGTTGGGTCCTCTAGCAGTGTAGTCTGATCTCCCCTGACCTTCAGCAGAAGCTTCCATGGAGGACATCATGGTGAGAGAGAAGGGGGGGGGTCACTGCTGGTTGGGTCCTTCTAGCAGTGTAGGCTGATCTCCACTGACCTTCATCAGAAGCTTCCATGGAGGACATCGTGGTGAGAGAGAAGGAGGAGGGGGGGTGTCACTGCTGGTTGGGTCCCTCTAGCAGTGTAGTCTGATCTCCCCTGACCTTCAGCAGAAGCTTCCATGGAGGACATCATGGTGAGAGAGAAGGGGAGGGGGGTCACTGCTGGTTGGGTCCCTCTAACAGTGTAATCTGATCTCCCCTGACCTTCAGCAGAAGCTTCCATGGAAGACATCATGGTAAATACGGATGAGCCGAACTCACCTGGTTTTGGTTTGGATTGGTTCGGCCAAGCATGCCAAAAGCTGAGCTGCTGAAACCAAACCCCACGGAAGTCAACAGTCAAATCTGCCAAATCAGTTTTCTCAATTTTTCTGGCCAATAGCCAGGGGAATTAGCAAAAAAAAAGACTAGGGGGGGGAGGGGGGCTGGGACTGGGCACTGCCCAGGGGACATGTACCAATGCAATTTTTAAAATTTTTGCTTTGCAGACAGCTGTGAATTTAATAGTATTTGAGGTGATTGCTACAGTCAACTAGGAACTTGAAGAAAATCTCATCTGTCATCTTTTCCAGTACTAACATTTACAGTTTATAGCTGTTTTTCTCTTGTTTTTTTTTTTTAATTTTGGCCTCTGTGTGCCATAGACAGTATTAGCAGAAAATTTGTTGGCATGGCCCAGCTTTAACTTTTAGTGTTATGTGTGTGTGTGTGTGGGGGGGGGGGGGGGGGGGGGGCTAAGGGGGTCGGTTCATGTCTTGTATGTCTCACTTTTATTGGTATATTTTAGAATTGTATTAATAAAGATTGATCTGTAGTTGTATATACATTGTTATAGTGCTGGGTCCCACCGCAGTGTGAGTTTAGGAAAAAAAAACACAAAGGGTTCGTATTAAGGGGAAGTGCAAAGCTGCAGGGCCTTACTCCTGAGCAGAGAAGACTGATTTGTCAGTGTTCTCCAGGGTTTTTAATTCCAGTTTGGGGTCTGGAGCTTGGAGGCTTTAAAGAGATTTGGGTGGGAAGAAGTCTCCATTCTAGTATCCACATCTTGTCGGAGATCTGCAGGCTGTGTGGGTATGGAGGTGGCTATGCTCATTATAATCCTGGATCGGAGTCTGGAGCTTGGCGGCTTTAAAGAGATTTGGGTGGGAAGAAGTCTCCATTCTGGTATCCATGTCTTGTCGGAGACTTCAGGTTGTGTGGGTATGCATGTGGCCAAGCTCATAATCCTGATCGGGGTCTGGAGCTTGGAGGCTTTAAAGAGATTTGGGTGGGAAGAAGTCTCCATTCTGGTATCCATGTCTTGTCGGAGACCTTCAGGTTGTGTGGGTATGCATGGTGGCCAAGCTCATAAATCCTGGATACGGGGTCTGGAGCTTGGAGGCTTTAAAGAGATTTGGGTGGGAAGAAGTCTCCATTTATGGTATCAACGTCTTGTTGGAGACCTGCAGGTTGTGTGGGTATACAGGTGGCCATGCTCATTATAATCTGGATACGGGGTCTGGAGTTTGGAGGCTTTAAAGAGATTGGGTGGGAAGAAGTCTCCTTTATGGTATCCACGTCTTGTCGGAGACCTGCAGGTTGTGTGGGTATACAGGTGGCCATGCTCATTATAATCTTGGATCAGGGTCTGGAGCTTGGAGGCTTTAAAGAGATTTGGGTGGGAAGAAGTCTCCATTCTGGTATCCACGTCTTGTTGGAGACCTGCAGGTCGTGTGAAGGGATGGGCGCTACTCAACCAACCCCAGGAGTCCAATGTTGAGGAATGGCCTTAGCTTCCATACTGGCCATGCCCGCTGACGCGTTTCACCCGGGCCACCGAGGCTTGGTCACAGAAGTCACAGGACCTCTGTGACCAAGCCCTGGTGGGCAGGGTGAAACTTGTCAGCGGGCTTGGCCACTACTTCAGCTGAGTCCATTCCTCAATATTGGACTCCTGGGGTTGGTTTAGCAGCGTCCATCCCTTCACTTGTATTGGTTGACACTAGAGTCGCTTGGACTCATGCTCACCTCTTCTTACTTGCCGGTGGGGGGATCCTTTTACTTCCATCCATAGCATGGAGCAGCGACATAAGCTATACTTTTCACTGCAGGTTGTGTGGTTATACAAGTGTGCATGCTCGTTATAATCCTGGATCGGGGTCTGGAGTTTGGAGGCTTTAAAGAGATGTGAGTGGGAAGAAGTCTCTGATCCTGTGACCAGGTCTTCGTGGAGACATGCAGGTTGAGTGATTATACAGGTCTCCATGCTCATTATAAACCAAGCCTCAGTACAGGGTCCCATTTTGGAGACAGAGCCCTGTCAGGAGAAGGCTGCGTGTTCTCACTAAGAGACTGCACCCCATGTTGGAGGGATTTGGGTGGGAAGGAGTCTCCAATCTCTGGACACGGAGCTCTGCTCAAGACGGTGAGTTCCGCCTCTTCTTGGATTGCCCACACACCCTTCAGCAATAATGGTATATTGTAGAAAGTTCAGCAATACACAAGCCTGATGAGGAGGCAAACTATTCAGAGCCACTTACAGAGTGTAACGGTGGTACAGTAGACTGAAGAGACCATGAGCATCTGCCAAGAGAAGCAGAATGTGACCAGGCTGGTCCGATCCCAAAGAGGAGGCTTTCCAGTGGATTGTCGTGGTTCCTACACTCCCTACTACTCCAGAGTGTGGCCTGGCTGGTCCGATCCCAAAGGGGAGGCTTTCCAGTGGATTGTCGTGGTTCCTACACTCCCTACCACTCCAGAGTGTGGCCTGGCTGGTCCGATCCCAAAGGGGAAGCTTTCCAGTGGATTGTCGTGGTTCCTACACTTTCCCTACTCCTTCCCTACGTGAAGTATCATGCTTCTCTGTCTGGCAATCCTATGGGCGTGTCTGGGTTTGGCGGTTGCCAGGAGAATGGTACTTGCCTGACTGCATTATGCCAAGTGTAAAGTTTGGTGGAGGGGGGATTATGGTGTGGGGTTGTTTTTCATGGGGTTGGGCTTGGCCCCTTAGTTCCAGTGAAGGAAAGTCTTAAGGCGATAATTTCATGCTCCCAACTTTGTGGGAAGAGTGGGGGATGGCCCCTTCCTGTTCCAAAATGACTGCGCACCAGTGCACAAAGCAAGGTCCATAAAGACATGGAGGAGCCAGTTTGGGGTGGAGGAGAACTTGACTGGCCTGCACAGAGTCCTGACTTCAACCCCATAGAACACCTTTGGGATGAATTAGAGCGGAGACTGCGTGCCAGGCCTCCTCCCGAGACATCAGTGCCTGACCTGACAAATGTGCTTCTGGAAGAATTGTCCAACCTTCCCATAGACACCCTCCTAAACCTTATGGACTGCCTTCTCAGAAGAGTTGAATCTGTTATAGCTGCAAAGGGCGGGGCCAACTCAATATTGAACCCTACGGACTAAGACTGGGAGGCCATTAAAGGTCATGTGCGTGGAAAGGCCGACCAATACTTTTGGCAACATAGTGTATATATAGTGTATGGTGAGTTTTACAGACTTCCAGGACACACTGTTTTCAAATCTACTGCTCTGCTCCACATAGGCTCTTATCTGATCGCTCAACTACTGCACACTCTCTGCAAGATGAAGGTACAAAACATGATGACTGTGTATTGAGGGAGAACATTGACATTGCCTGTGTTGGAGAAGCATGGAGCTACAGAGGTGGGTGGGAGTGATCTCCTGGAGGGGGAGGGTAGATGCCTAGTGTGTGTTAATGAGCTCAACTGCTGAACTATTATCTTAGTTCATTAACAGTTTTACCATCCCAAATACCAGGATGAAGCAGGAAGTAACGTCGCAGCACCCAAATAGTGCAGAGTTCCCCTTTAAGCTTCAACATTTCTAAAAGCATCTGCAGAACCAGGTCATCAGCTCACTTCCTCCCCCCCTTCATTTCCTGTGGAACAATGTGTTCCAGTCTAGCAGCTGACACCCTAACTTTCAGTTTGTGATATTTTATCTGACTGAAAGGCCAGGGGAATATTTACAAGGTAAACAAGGCATTTGCCTATGGCGGCATTTTTCAGGGGAGCAGCAGCATTTTTCAGAGGGGCAGTGCCGCCCTCCAAAAGAAGGGATGGAAGAATGGACACAGCATGGGGACCAGGTGGGATCTGAGAGTGGCTGCTTGATGATGTATGCAGAGCCCACTTCTTGTTCCCAGGGATGTTTGGAGCTGTGAAGGTGAGTGCCTTTTCTCTCTCGCCCACGGTGGGGGGGTGGCCAGTGTATGGGGGGTGGTGGTAGTGAAAGGCTTTCTCAAGTGTGCGGGGGGGGCTAAAGTGCCTTTGGTCAATGTCAGACTCTCTTCATGGGGGAGGGGGGTGTTGGTCGATGTCAGGGTCTCTTCGTGGGGGGGGGGGCATATTTTTGTATTGCCTAGGGCAGCACGAAACCTAAATACACCACTGGCAAAGGCTATATAGTGAACTGCCCAGAATGTATTTTTTAAAGGTACAAAAAGTAAAGAGGGAATATATG